GAGCACACGATCGCGAGAGTGTACGGTAAGAGTCCGCGATGCGTGGGCGTAGTACTGCCAACCATGCGGCTGGCGCCACTGGCGGGGCCGACCGCAATCGCTCCAGCCCTGGCCCTGTAAGGTGCGACGTGCATGCGCCGCTTCCGCGGAGCCCGCGAGGCAGTGCGCGCGCGCAATGCGGCAGGCGTGCGCGTATGGCAGGCAATACGTCTGCCCAAGAGGCCCAATAAGCTTCAGGCGTCGTGGTCCCAGCGCACTGCAACCCGAGGGTGATTGGGACCTGAGGCTGAGGAGCTGGCCTGACTGGTGTGTGCCGGCCACTGCACAAGCTCTGCGGCTCAAGACTAGCAGGACCCAGCACTGCTGCAGCACGTGTGCTCGCCGCTTCCGTCAAAACACGACCGCGCGGGATATCACACGGACAGGAGCCATCATTTTGTGCTGCAATCGGCTCGCGATGCCGGGAATCTGCTTCATGGAAGTCTATTGCAATGTCAGACAGCTATGCGGAACCAGCAAAGAAAATTGCGGCTTAGGCGAGTGGTCGCTTGGGGGGATGCTCTCTGCTTTTCGTCAAGCCTTTGCAGCTGGCGGCTACACCGTCGTTGTTGCCAACAGGCAGAGTCAGGCGAACCCGGCTCTGGAGCTAGGGCGAGACCCTGGGCGATGATCCCGCCGCCTGCACTCGCAGCTCGCCGCTGCTATAGCGCCTCTGGGTGCGGGTGGCGTGGGGAGGCTGTTACAGTTGGGGCCGAGGTGTTGCACACGGCTCTCGTAGGAACATCTCGTGGGCTCGCGTCCGAGCGCCACCGAGCGCCACCCCCTTAGTTTTGCTGCGCACGTCTGCTGCGATCCTCGGGAGGGGTCCGCGCTTGCGAGCTCTGGTCCGCTCCTTTCGGCCTTCTTTGCCTCTTTACTCCACTGCGCAGTGCTGTGCAACCCAAGCGTAGTTGCTTTTTGTATCTTTTTGTTAGGTTGAGGTCAGCCTGGAGCTTCGGCTGCTCCCGCGTAGTTGCAAGGTTTCGGGCCATTCCAAAGCCCTGGTCTTGCCTTCTCCAGCAAACCTCCCGCATACTTCGGCAGGATCTTCTGGGCATGTAAGTGCCCGCTCAACAGACCACCCAGAATGCCTCGGTGGTTCGTCGTTGATGTGCTTAAAACGCAGAATCGTCGTGTGCAGAATCGTGAATCTAAGGCAAGAAGCGGATGTTGACTTCGAAGGTGCTCACTTCCAGATCTTTGCCGAAGTGAACATTATCATCGATGTAAGAAACTGCTACCTGTTGATCGTGCCAAGTGGAAAAGCATGACAAGTGCATGGCATCACCTCCAACCTTGCATCCAAAGACGGTCAAAACAACCGCAGAATCCGTTGCCTTGAAAGCGGTTTTACGCTTAAAGATAACCAGTGAATCCAAGGAGTCAATCAAGGTCCTTAAACAGCAAGGGCAAGGACAACGCTTTGCTGTTTGTCTCTGCTCGATTGACCCGCTGCCCTGCCGCAAGAATTCAGCTACGATTCATCGAGTAGTTGCCCAGCATGGCATCGAGATCACCTCGCTCGCGCCGAAGTCGCCCGTCGCAGGACAAAGGTCGAAGCTCATCCGCCGGGAAAGCGTGTGACATGTAAGAATCCTTGGTCCGGATTGGGTCACGAAGGGAAAATGTAGATTCCGTGCTCCCGCTGTCCAACGCGAGGCCCAACACAGCAGGACGGCCCAAAACCAACGACTTCCTCACACCTTCCACCTGCATGGCTCACCGTCTTCCGTGATCGCGCTTCCATGCCGAGAATCAAAAGCGTGTTTGTACATGTCCTGCACCTGTGTCAGAGGCGTCCGGCACATGTGGTATGTGCTTTAATCACTCACGCATGTGCTCGGACGCGGTTGGTGGATGTGCACCTTCTCTGCAGCAGCGACCCGCTCGTGCCGCGGAACTGCATCTGCTGCAACAAGAGGCAACGCAAAAAGGCATCGCCAACCCATGCTCGGCGCACATCGACAATCTCTATTTTTCCACCGAAAAACGTAGTCACTGCTGCGAATGGAAGCGAGTCAATGCTATGGCTGGTGAAGCGTTCTGTCGCTCACGGGGGCGCTTCTGCCTGTAAAACATCCATGACATGCTTGGAGATGATTGCAACGTCCGCACATGCTCGTTCGTGGAGCCAATGGCTATTAAAAGGCGGCCGGCATTCAACACCTCCGATACACGGCAGCAGAACTACAGCTTCAGCCCAGCAAGTGTGATTGGAGACTTTCTTTGTGGTGACTTCCGGGCTGTTGACACAAGACTTGTGGAAGTTTGCGCGGTTCAAGCTCTTTTTGGGAATTCTGAACACTTCAGCCAAGCTCATAGTTTGGCCTCCTCCTCTGCGAAATTACGGCCTGTTGCGTTGCAGAACATAGGATAAGATGTTGCAGATTGCTCGCTTGGCCCAGCTTAAATCTGGCCACTGTGCACTTTCCATGACAAGTCTGGCATCTTCAACAAAGCTTCGAGAGGATTTGCAAAGAGAGTTCACTGCAAAGAGCAGCAAGCAAATGCAAGGCTCAGAGGATGTGCAAGGCCCAGTACATCCCAATCAAGCATCCAAGAAATCGACGCTGACAAAAAAGGCCGCCCCCCCGAAATGTCCGACTCGGGTGATGTGTCTCAAACGGAAGAACAGCATACAAAGCAACCCCAAGACAAGCGGACAGAGCCGGGATGGAATGTAAATCTGCAGACATGCGCCTGCAACAGGTGTCAGAGAAGGGAGGGCTGAGGCAACAAAATACAGGGCCCCAAGATCCGTACCTCTGACGACATCCGTTAGCCTCAAGCCTCAGGCTTCAGCGTTTTTTCCACCATGCACGGCGATGCCTCTTCGATGTGAACACTGTCTGTGGACGAAGCTCCGCCTAGCACTCATGGCACCTCCCCTCCTCTACCTAACGACCTGCGTTGGGAGCAGGAAGGGGAACAAGAATGATTTCATCAAAGTGCACCGTCACGCGTTGAAAGGGAGGGACCATGCATGTCGAACGCTATCTGCCGTGGCCCATGGCCCTCGGCCAGGGTCCTTGAGCGCGGACCCATGTGCCGAAGCCGCAAGGCCCGAGAGGCTTGCCAGCCCAAAAAAGCGCAGCCAACAGACACCCAACGCACTCCGGGCCCTAACTGGGCCCTAGGATGCAGTGGGTGCCGTGGGGCTGCTTTTCACTTCGTCGGTTCTCCCCGTCGGCCCTTGGTCGGCAGCCTCAGACACCTGGTCAACGCCAGAGAGTCTTGGCTGCTCGGCGGTCTCCGAAGGCCACAAGCGGACCTTGACAGGTGCCATTGCCCTCTGAATAGCATCCCAACTGCACCCCAGAAAGTATTCAGGTACTTAGACTCATTAACTTTGCAGTCCAAAATGCTGGAAGTCACCGCTGCAAATGAAGCTAACCATAACGCCATATGCAGGTTGAACTCCCCTACTTTTATGAATACATCATGACTTCCGTCACATGCCTCTTGCTTGGGAGCAGCAACATCACGGGATCATCGCCTGGCGCCTACACATATAACTAAAACCGTGCTTTTCTTTAGCTGTGATCAGGATTCAATGGCTTCAGTGCTGAAGGGCTGTGCTTTCGATGCGTGGAAGGCTTCGGAAGGCTTTGTGTTTCGGCTGAGCGGCGACCGCCAGGATGCAGGAGAGGATCAGCAGCGCGTCGGCCCCAGGCTCGGCCTCAACTCGAACGCATCCGATCTTGCATCCTACCCGTATCTCACCTGACCCACGTGCCTGTAACTGCCACTGGTCATTCTGGGCATGAAGACCTGGAAGCAGGCCCATGTCTTCAACGGTCGGTTCCAAAGCCGGGAGCCTGCAGTCGCCAATCTCCGACCATCGTGGGGGTTGGTGGCTTCCACCTCCACATTCTCGAGAGAGGCAACCTCGCAAGCAGCTTCTCGAGGGCACCAGACCATGCGAAACCCCATCGGAATTGCGACTCAGGGGCCTCTAAACGAAGGATGGACAAATCCTTGTGCTTGATAATCAAGCACTTCTGCCCTCTTGCTGGGCTAGGTTCCATCGAACCATAGAGAACATCCTCGTCAAGAGTGCAGGCGCATGTACGCACACTCCGTTCAGATGTTGTTCAGGCTGCGGGGGAAAGAGCGGCCGATTGCACCGCAGGCCTTCCTTCCATAGATGAAAAACCGCGGTGTCTCCGCATCGACCTTTTCGTTGCTCTCTTCTCAGGAGGTTCCATGGACTGTTTTGCTCCCTCTGTCAACTGGGCTTCGGGCGACCTCGACACTGCATCGAGGATCCGTCTCACAGCTTTGGTATGCCACCCGAAGCATCGGCCTAAGCTCACATCGGCAGCTGCCCATCTTAGCGCAGGTTTCCGGGTCCGCTCCGTCTCGCTTTCGAAACTCCGAAGGCGGCCAGCAGAAGGGGTCTGCGCATGGAAAGCGAATAAAAGGGACCTGCGTTCCTTCAAGCCTCCCTTTCGCTGCCGACGGTCCTTCCCGCGCTGCCGTTGATGACGGCCCGCTTCGACGTCCTTGACAGTCCAGGAAACACAGAACCCTGCAATGCAAGACGCCATCAAAGCCCGGTTCGAAGGCTCTCGGTCCTTATCGCAGTTAAAGATCCGTTGAGCACGGCCTGCAGGTGGTTTGATTGAGCCTCTTTGCTCGCGCTTCCTCGTCAGTTGCCTCGCTGTTTGGCAACAGCATGCTCCCACAAACGGGAGAAGCGGCAGGGGCAGAAGCCATCCGAGCCTCGCACAAACAGCAGCTCCCACAGACTATGAACCGCGAATTGCTCTTGGCCGGGTCTTCGGGGTGTCATTATCATCACTCTTGGCAACTCTAATGAACAGCACATGAAGCCATCTTCAGCATGCTCTCACTCAGATTCAGCGTTGCGACTCCGACTCGATGTAGAAGGAGCACAAGACCATGCTAGCCAACACTCTCACCATGCTTGTCTTAGTCCTACATGTTGGCAACTGCTGTCCAGCTGATTCTCCACTTCTACACGCCGCGCGAGACCCCTACGAGTATGTCCATGTCTGGTCTGCCGGGGCGGGAGGGTCACGCCGGTGGAGAATTGCCTTGAACCCAGCAGCTACTTGCTCTCCACTGACAACTGGCTCAGACCCCTGTCGTCCATCTCTATCTCACAATCCAAGTCTGTTTGAAGTTGCCTGAGGAATGGGAAGGCGAACGCTCTGCAGCATCCTGGACAGCGGGAGCCACGAAGTACTGAACTGATACACAGCCATGCACTAAGCCACTAAGCTCCTTGATGCGTTTGACTCGCCGCCTTCAGTCATCAGGCGCATCTCAGTTCTGTCGCACTGTGGCATTCAAGGGCGCTAGCGCCAGGGCCTTGATAAAACCCCGCCGGCAGGTGCTGAGTCGCTAGGAGCAGAAAGACAACTGCTAACCTGAAGCATGGGCTCCGAAGCGATGGGGACGATGGGGACTTAGCTCTCTGGCACTGCCACATCGACGAGATCGGAGCGGGAAGACTAGGACAGCTGCGACTGGAACCTCGTGCCGGCAGAGGGGACTCTCAGAGCGAGGGGAGCCCAGCTGGGTCAAGCACCAGCTTCTCCCGGAAAGTTCCTGCTATCGGTTCCTGTCACAGCCAATGCTTCCCGGAATGGGTCTTCGCAAGAGCAACAAGGCCTCCGTGTTTGGAATGATCTGGAACAACCCTGCCTTGGCCTGCAACTCGCTCACAAAACTACACGACCACGGCACAGTGTGATTTTCATGGGATGGAAGGCCTGAGGGCCCATGGAATGGCGGGACACTGGCGCAGTCTTGCTCGCATTGCCTGCTAGCAAGCTTGCACTGCTTCGGACTTCCATCGCTTCGCATCCGGCTGTTTGCCGGACCGGGGAGTTATACAAAGCAAAACAAAGCGGGGCTCTTGGGCGACCATGGGCGACGCGGTACCAGTACAAACCGCTTGTCCCAAAAGAGGACGAGAGACAGTCGGATCCCATGTCAAGTCGGTTCCATCTTCCAACCCGTGTGTAGAATTCTCTGCCAACTTGGTGTGTTCAAAAAAACCTTTCCCTCAGCGGCAGCGTGCCTTTTGGTCCAACAGCTGCAAGTTGAAGGGAAGATTGCCTGGCGTTGGCGACGAGAGACCCGACCCCGTCAAGCAAAACCCAACGTAATCGGGCGCACAGGAAGGACAGCTCAGGAGTCTCTGCATCCGCCTGCAGGCTGGGGTTCTAGGAAGGAGAAACCACTTGCAGCCTCGCCAAGAACGCCTCTTTGAGATAGGAAGAATACCAGATACCAGTAACAGGCAACAGGAGTATTTAGTATTGACCTGTGGTCCGTAGTTCTGGTTGGCCGTGCTCAGGGCTGTGCTTGGCAAAGCGCGCAGGGCTGGATCCCACAGCCTGAGGCGACAGCGAGTCATTGAGTCAAGCCTGCGGATGGAAGCCTCTCCGGCCTGCATCGATCTCAGTTGCAAGGCACCTGAATCTGAAAGGACGGGGCCCACAAGCAAGCTGCCAACATCGACTGAAAGTTGTCGGCTGCTTGCAGACGCACCAGGGCTCGGGCAGCAACAGCCACAGATGCGACATGACGGAGGGGGACATGCATCTGCCTTGTGATAACACTGATGAAGACGATTTTATTTGCACCAGTCGAAGCAGCAAGACATGCAGGGCACAAGCCTAGAATCTGACTTGCGTGATTATAGAATGCCTACTATTTTTGGTCAGCAGGACTGGCAGTTCCGTTGCGGTTGTGGCACATGCTAGAGAAGAGAGCATTGCTCATGAGGGCTTCTCACACTGTTGGCAACGTCATCCCACCCCTGTCGTTTGGCGGCGCCTGAGGAAATTTGATGTGTCTAGCAGTGCTCTCCTGGTGTGGATGGTCGGGATGGTTGTTACTCCAAGACTCCAGGTTCCGGCATGGATTCATTGCTTGCGCATGCTGCTGGAATGGACGCGTGGCATGCATTTCCGTTTCCTGGCACCCCGTAAACAGCAAGCAGCAGCGTTTGTACGGTTCATGTCGCCGTGTGAACGCTGTTACCACGAATGTGCCGGCAACTACTATGAGTGTTTGTGCCTTTTGGCACACGGTCAGCCCAAGGAACAAACCAGCGTAGCACTACTCACTGGACGGTGGTGACATATGATACCATAAAGCCAGGTCGTGAGCAGCAAAGAATGCAAAGCCTAGATCCCGAGATATGCAGAAGACTTGGAGTTGCAGCTCTGGAGCGCCCCGGGCCGGATCTGAGCTCCGGGATGCTGGCTCCCCGGAGACGGAAGCTTCGGCGGTTGGCAAAGGCCTCTAATCAATACTCTACGAGTACCTAGAACCTAGAACTGCCCAGAACATGCATGCCTATAAGTTTATGCTCCCTTGGATCTTACGGGCTGCAGCTTCTTCGTCGCGGGAAGGACACACCCATCTCTGAAGATACGTCCTGTGTCTCAAGAAGACGGTACGGTAAGCCTTGAGCCAAGCAGGGCAGCAGCTGTGGACTTAGACGAGGCTTGGGTTGCTTGGCTTGGCCTTGATTCCGGCTGGAGCATGCTTGGCTTGCCACCGAGCTGAGACACTGATCAGTTTGCGTAGCTGCAAGTACATGCAAAGCCCTTTTTTCCTGTGACCGCTGGATGTTGGGTACCTCACACATGAAATCGAACCCCACCGTGCCGTTGCGAAGTCCACCCACACCAGGGCTGGGACGTTGCCGAAGGGGTGTCAGTTACACTCGTTCGTGGGATCCTCTTCCGAGCTGCTGACAGCCTTTCGCGACTCGCTCAGCCCTCCGTTTCAAGAGCGAAAGGATCCCCCGCCTCAGGGTCGGAGCCCGTGCCCCAGCAGATGAAGGAGGTGGGGTAGCCTTGCCGGCGCAGCTCCTGGGAGTCGCAGCGGAGTCCGAGACGTCTCTTCAGCTCTCCCGTTTCGCGCTCCCGCTTCGCCAGCTCGGGAAGTTTCTCCGGCAGGTCCAGACGACGCTCCGGGCAGTACCACCAGATCTGAGCAGATAAAGGGCCGCGTCGAGACGATCTCCGGATCAACTGGGGCTCCCGCTGCCAGATGACTGCCCACCATGAACAAGCCTGCCGACACCTGCAATCACTTCCAGCTGTGCAACAACAACTCCTGCAAGATAGAGCAAGCTGCAACATGGGATGATGGAACCAAGCAGTCGTCAACGCGCCTCGAACCAATACTCCAGCGTCTTTAGGAGGAGGCACCTCGAGGGCGACTCGAAGACCGGACCCCCACCTCCGCGGAACGGCAGCGCTGAGACCATCGCGACCCATGCGCGGTGTCCAGGAGCAGCTTCTCCTTGTCAGCAATAGCCTTCCCAGGTAGCACAGAATAAAACGAACGAACGAACGAAGCTGAATCCGCTCTCGTTCTGAACCTGGGAGATTCGGACTGCCAAGGCCAGGTGGTCACCGCCTGGAAAGCTCCACGCGCTCAACGCCAGCGAATGCCAGCTACGCCTACACCGGGTCACCGGGAGCTGACAGAGCTGCGCCTGGCTTCTGTAGGACGTACTCGAAATCAATCTTGCTCGGGACCACCCAGACATCTGCACCTCGTTCCATACATCAAAAGTGTCGCTTCAAGCCCGCCAAGGCCGAGTCTCATAGGTCCAGGCAGGAGTCTGTGCCGAGAGAGTCTACTGTCTTTGGCGATAGGAAGCCGCAAACCTCTCTTTGTGGAGCACAGAAACACGCTGTGAAGAAGGCAGCTGACACTTCGCCGTCCTGAAATGCGACACCGGAGCACAGCGACAAGCCGATCAAGGCCGCTCGAAGGCGCCACTCTCCCGGCCTCGCATCTTCAACATTGATGGCATGATATGGCATGCAGACACAGTAGGCACAGGAGACACAAGATGTCGGGGACCTGTTGTGCGACAAGTAAGGAATGGCCACGGTTCTTTTGCAACTGTGCTATTGCCCCGTCGAATCAATTTTCAACTAAGCGAGGGAAGCCACATGTCTTTGCAAACTGACGACCGAATTTGCGAACAATGCTCCAGCGACTGTCTACTTGCTGACTTGTGTACAGAGAGCGCTCGCAAGAAGCGGGTCATGGAGACAGCAGCCATCACAGGTGAGTGTCGGGCTTCAAGATTGGCCCCCAGGCTGTGGTGTCCTCGCACAGGCATCAGCAGTTGAAACAGGGGCCGGGCATGGCGCCAGGTTTGCTGATGACAATGTGAGTCCTTCCGACGGGAGCAAGCCCTTTGGAGTGCGACTATTTCGCACAGCCCGTATCCACCAACCATCATGATTGCACCACAGGTATGCCTCGAAAAGCTCCGTGTGCAGACAACTGCATCCTTGCGAAGCTTGGGACCCCACAAGAGGACGGTGAAGTTCTCTCCGAAGTGGCGGTTGGCCTTGTGAGTCGCACATCCGGCAGTCAGGAAGCGACAGCGAGCGTCGATCTGGCTCTGAGGACGTTGCCGGTGGCACTGTGGGGATGCAGGTCACGAGGAAGAGGCCGACGGATGGGCAAAACTGCAGCAGGCATGAGCAAACCGCAGGCCCCGGGATTCCCCAAACATTCGGAAGCATTCGGAAGCAGCTTGCTGCCATGCCCTGCCTGTCGCATGTTCTGCCAAGTGGGACCACAGCAACCACACACCGCGACCTTACGGTCATTCGAGCCGACTCTCTCCGCGGCTTTCTGCCGCTGGCTTCGGCCCGAGACTTCCAAAGACCCATTCTGTGTGACCTCTTCTGAGCACTTTGAGGCGGAAGCACCATCGCCCAGGTAGACATTGCCTTCGGGGAAAGGCTTACGCAACTCGAAAGTCTGTCGTGTTTGCAACCGCGGCACGGAGATGTGCTGGATACCAGGAAGCCAGAATGCAAATGGCCTGGCGCCCATGCAATAGAAAGCAGCTGAGAACGCAGCGCGACAAACAAAGACCGCGGGCCGTCTCCGTCTCCCAGCCAGTTTCTCAAACTCAAACTTCGTCTGTGAGCAGCTACGACATTATCCCGTCTCGTCCATAGCATGTGGCATGCTCTTGCATGCAATCTGCAAGCGAACTGCAATGCGTGGACAAAAATGGACAGCAACTTCATGACACGATCCCACTGCAACAGACTTCCGGCGGAGCAAGCAACGGCGGGCGCACAGCTAAAAGGCCAAAGCCGAAGAACAGCTTGCCCTCGGCACTCTTGTGGTCATGCACCAGCTCGCTCACCTGTCAAGTGAAATACTGCGGCACGGCCAGGCCTCTGCGATGTGCCGCACAGACTGTCGCACAGCACCGGACCGTCTGTGGGCAGTAGTTGTGGCCGGACGGAAAGGGCTCGCCCATGAAGTTGTTCTCCAACTGAGACGCTGGAAACGATGCAAGCGGCATCCGATTCCCCGTTCGTCCGAGCTAGAAGCCCCTGGTTTTTGGGGCCCTGGCGATGAAGGTCTTGTTGTGAGCCCAGAGCTGCTGGAAGCCTGACAAGTGGCAAATCAGGCCCAGGACGAGAACTGCATCCCCAGCCAGGCCTCCGCTATAGTAATTGTGGATGCCCAGCAATCCGGCGCACAGAAAGCCTCGAAGACACAGGGATGGATGTTTGGACTTCAAGTCATACCATCAGTCAGAGTCTGAGGAAAACCCCGCGCCTAACAAGCCAGCGACGGAGCCGGCCAACAGCAAGGAGACGGCCCTCTTCTGGTTCAGCTCCTGTCATGACCAAAGCAGAAAAGCCCTCCGGCGGAGACGCCTTTGCAGAACATTGGGGCGGCGGGCCCAGCTGTATGTTGCGGCCTGCGCCTCGGGACCTGAGCTCAGCCAAGACAGCTTCAGCTTGTGTTCCTCCAGCTCACCTGCTCACTTTGTTTTTCCGATATTTCAGGGGTGGGGAAAGCCGTTCCCTCAACCGCACTTGCAGAAAAGAAGCCATCTCTCAAGAGGCATTGCTGGAAGTCGTCGTGAACTTGCCCGGCCTGAGGGGGATGGCGCTGGCCAAAACCTGCTGGCTGCCTGCTTACCACGCAGGTCTCCCCACCTCGAACTCCCTTCTCCGCATGGTAGTCGTCATTCCTGCACATCATGAAAGTACACCTTGGAGACTAGATTGTAAGTTGCATCGACAACAGGCCTCCTGGATGAGAAAATGTTCCCGCCGCAGGCCTCGCTCATGCACAGGACACAAGAGTCAAACAGTGGGCAACTGTGCTACATAGATCTGTTGGAGCTCATGCCGAAATAACGACTCATTTTTGCAGCGCAGCCAACGCATGTCG